TTTTTTTTGATTTATTCAGATGTAGGATGCCTACGCATGTGAATGCACATAAATATGTCATTTAAGAGGTACGACGCAACCTCTTTTCGTCTTTTATAGGCATCGTTGTTGCACTCACGGCCTCGTTAATTTTTGTTATGTTCTTGGCAGGCCGCGCAGGGCACCGCTACCTGCCCGGCGAAAAAATCGCTATAGACAATCTTTCAACATATCCGAATCAATCGGAAGAACCCAAGCGTAGTAAGTAAATCTGCTACTTGTATTCAACAATAACTGTACTGTTCTGTCTGTCACTTATCCGTCCATTTTCCTTAACGCTGTCTTTCACCCTGGATTAGGTGAGACTGCGCCGCGCCTACGGCCGTTATCGAGGGGGCGCGAGTTTACTCCCGAGCTGTCGGTAATACAAGAGGTGTCGGCAGCTGAGGAGAAACAGGCGGAGGAGGAAGAAGAAGCTGCGAATGCAGAAGGGGGGCAGGAATTGGGCTACGAAGAGGACATTAAGGTGGAAAACAAGAAGTTAGATGAAGCAAACGAAATGTCCTCTAAAGCTATGCGAGCAGCACCAGGCGTTAGTTTTGTTGAACATTCTCTTAAGGGCAATTGCAATTCTTGTGCGCCGCTTATCCTAAAGAGGAATATATCAGACTCCGGTACCAGAACATCTTAGTTGATTTGGCCTGAACCGCCAGCTGAAAGGCTGTTACCTCCACGTTGGAAGGCCGTCAATAAGTCTTTCCGTAAGTTCATGATTGTTCTACTAGGGTCTTTTGAGAGTCATCTTTGCCATTTTTGCTCCTCTCCTCTCACATACTCAGTTACATTTCCAACCCATATCTCACTGATACTAACCATTGTAGAAACCAATACTCTGCTAGATCAAAGGGAACGGAAGTCCATTCGTCGACGCCTACGACAGCTGTGGAGACTGGTTGTCTGTTGTGGGAAATCCAAAGTTGAGGAATAAGAGAAAAACATATAAACCCTGTACAAAGAGCTCACTTTTTGTCAAATGCTTGTACATATTCATGATTGCAATTCGTTAAATAAAGCGTTCTTTGTATAGTGATTTGTAGATTGCCTCGAAGCAAACCTGACATAGAATGAAGGAAGGTAGACATATGCGAATCCGGGAAGGTATATATTCCGACGGCAGCTGCGAAGTAGAAATCCGTAGTTAACCGAACAAGATGAGTTTCTTTATTGCTTTGCTGGGATTGTCATGTCGTAGAATTAAGATGAACGATGCAATATGCAAGCTAAGTTTATCCGGGTAAGAAGTATTCTTAACTACGGGCAAATCATTCTGATTGGGACACATGTACAGTAGGTGGACAATCTCATGCAATCCTACGATTTTTACAAGTAA